TGGTCAAGCACTTGTAAAAACCAATATGTAGAAGCTATTAATGAGGAAGAAACAAAAAATCAAATACTTATGTTGAATAATTTACTAGATGAAATATATGATGATAACACATATGATTCAAATGATCTTGTCGATAAACTGTCAAATATTATAATTAATGCAGCAAATAAAAGTGTTCCATTTAAACCTGCAAAATTTACAAAATCAATTAGAAAAAATAAACAAAAACCAAAATGGATGAATACAGATTGTCTACTTTTACGAAAAGAAGTTAGAAATTTAGGAAAGAAAGTACACAAATATCCAAACAACTCATGCCTTCGCAAACTGTAGAAAAAATTATAATAAATTAAGGAAAAATCTTAAATCAACTTTTTACAATAGTATAGCAGAAGAAATAAACTCGCTTTCACCACAAAACTCTAATAAATTTTGGAATAAGATAAAAGAAAATAAATCAAAGAAAACTAATGCAGAAGCAATTGGAATTTCAGAATTCGTTGATCATTACAAATCGCTACTGAACATACAATATGCTGATGAAGAAAGCTCAAAATACAAATTTACTGAACTAAATACTGAACCAAATCCATTAGACTTTTTGTTTACTCAAGATGAAATTAAACAAAGCATTTTAAAGCTAAAAAATGGTAAAAGTGCTGGGCCTGACTTAATCTTAAATGAATTTATTAAAACAAACAATACTTCTCTTTTACCAGTTCTTACAAAACTGTTCAATATTTTACTAAAAAATGGAAAAATGCCCAACAAATGGAACCTATCACTTATTACCTCATTATACAAAAATGGTGACCCTAATAATACAAACAATTATAGAGGTCTCAGTGTTACAAGTTGTTTAGGAAAACTTTTTACAGGCCTTCTACAGAAACGCTTAGATAATTATCTTGAGTCAAATAACCTACTAAGCCAATATCAATCTGGATTTAGAAAAGGTCATAGGACCACGGACAATATATTTGTATTAAAAACACTTGTAAACAAATATCTTTATGCAAAGAAACAGAATTTATATGTGTGTTTTGTAGATTTTTCAAAAGCATTTGATACTGTATGGAGATCCGCACTTTTATACAAATTGAATAAAAAGGGTATTGGTGGTAACTTTCTCAAACTTTTAACAGACATGTATTCGAACACATACTATTCTTGTAAAAAAGACAATCAAATGAGTGAGAAATTTAAAGCAAATAGAGGAGTCAAGCAAGGTGATAATTTAAGTCCAACACTTTTTAATATTTTTGTTGATGATTTTGTGAATTATTTCAAGAATGTAAGTACATATCCTGCTTATCTAGATACTATGCCAATTAATCATATGTTTTTTGCTGATGATCTTGTCCTTGTATCAGAATCAGAAGTTGGTCTACAAAATTGTATAGATATTTTAGGAAAATATTGTTCAGACTGGAAATTATGTGTTAATATGGAAAAAACAGATGTTATGATTTTTTCAAAAAAATCTGTTGATGAAGCATCATTTAGATTTTATTATAATCACAAAATGATTAACATAACAAATGAATATAAATATTTGGGTGTTGTGTTTAGATCTGATGGGAAAATGAAATTTGCTGCTGAACAGCTATCAGAACGTGCTAGAAAAGCATATTACGCTATTAAATCAAATTTTCCTGCAAATGTTAATTTTTCTGCTGAAATTATGTTGAAATTATATCAGTCAATGATAATACCAATTATAACATATGGATCTGAAATATGGATAACTGACTTTAAATGTGATTTAATGTCTTCAGACCAGTTTCCTTTTGAAAAAACACAGCACTTGATATTTAAAGATATACTAGGGGTACACAGAAAGGCATCAAATCTTGCTGTTTTATGTGAGTTGGGTCGTTTTCCTTTGTACTATTTATGTTATGAATATATGTTAAAATATTACATGAGACTGAAGGAAATGGAATGCAACCATGATTATAACAATTATTTAGTGATATCTGCATTTAAAGAAGACAAAAATCTTGTATCTAAAATATCTTGGCAAAAGAAACTGGTTTGAGGAAAATATATTGGTTCATGGGAATTAAAATTCGTGGTTGAAGAATTGTTCAGTAGTAAAATTTGTGAAAAAAATTCATTTCGTGGTGGACATAAGTTCGTGGGTCTCTTCATACCTTGAAAACCACGAAAATTAAACCCACATGAAAATTTGGGATTTCACAGTATAGGACTATCATTTACTGGGTTGCATCAATTATGTTTTAAAGATAAATGATTTTTTCCCTATGGCATTTTTTTCTCAAGTGAATAACAAAGGGAGTAAGTATTCTATCTGAGTTGAAAATGTGATTATATGTAGTTTCATAGAAAGAAAAATTGTATCCAAAGTTTCATGTAGGAACTTTTCCAACACAATAACCACAGCATGTAAGTTACATTTCTATCACTTCTTGTTTGTTAACTACAGTTAAGTTACATTTCTATCACTTCTTGCTTTGTTGACAAAAGAACTTATTAC